AAACGTGATTTGTGGAATAGGTATGGATTATATTCTGAAACATTTTTAAAGTGATGTTTGTTTCTCTAAAATAAGCAAATTAGTGTTGATTTCCCAACTGTCTGGTGAGTGGTAATTTAGATCCCTTTTTATGAGACCCCTTCCACTCCCCACAGGGTCTAAAGTAATCAAAGTCACTCACAGAATTGCCTTCTTATCTCAACTCCCTAGTCTCAGATAAGCTTCTCTGATAACCTTGTAAAGCAGCCCTCCCTGCAACTCTATCACATTGACATTATTTTACCTTTTGTAGTCATTATCTGTACAGGTTTTAAAAAAATTTACTCATGCATTTATACAGTTTATATGTGTTTGTAATTATTTATTGTTTATATCCTCTTTGTTGAAAGAGATTGGCTATGTTCAATGCCAGATTCCAGAGGCCTGACGTTAATTACCCCACAATATTTTTTGAGTGTGTGGGTAGTGTTACCAACTTACCTGAAGACGGGTTGGCTTTCTAGATTCACATAAGTTATCTTCAGTGAGATCAGAAAGAGAGAATGAGGGAAATCATGGAAATCTAGCTGCTGTGAATAAGATCACTCACAGATGGCTTCCACAGCTCCACCTTGTATTCATCTTTCACCAATACAGCAGGTCACTCCTGAGCTCCAAGCCCATCAGGGCCAATAGAACATTGAGCTTCTAGCCCACCAGGGCCAATGAGACACATAGATAAGAACCTATGTAGATGAAAATGAGCTGGCTAAGTTTATACAACGTCTACCTCCAAAAGATTTAAAGGTTTTCAAAGATCATAGCCGTTCTATTAGCCAATTTTCTTTTTTAGTTGCAAATATTTTATTCCTGTTTTTGGTAGAAACAATATGGCACATGGAATAAAGCTGAGGAGAGCTAACTTTTGACTTAGTAAGTTTTTGAGTAGAATCTTCTCCTCCTTTCTAGGATTTTAGCTGAAAATGAACTCTTAGTATCCTGAACTCTAGAACCTTCCAAATTCTTATTCAGGGCATTTCTTACTACTGCAACGGGCATCATCTAATTTGTGCCTGCTTCCATTCCTTTCTATCTAAAAGAAGCACTGCTATATTCTGTCTTAATGGAAATCAGATGTTCAGAACTTTTCTTTACCTTTGAAGATCAGCCAGGCAAAATAACTTTTAAGAATCGTCTGACAAATTGGTGAATATGTTTTCCTGTCTGAAGCAATTTATCATCTTTTAATTCTCTTCCAGTTTATCCTCATCACTCCCTTAAACATAATGTGTTGACTGTTGCATGATGTCTTTGCTTAAAAGGCAGTTAACTCAGAAGATGGACTGTGGTCTCACTTCTTCTGGACCTTTTTCTCCTCTGCTCTTAACTATTCTCTCAGCAATGGCTTTGGTGGTGAGAAAGTAATTGATGAACTTGATCAATTATTCTCAGATGATTTCTGGAGAGTGACGATTTTAGAATTTTACAGGGAACATGGATATTCTAATCTCCTTTTATGATGGTATTTTTCCCTTAAAACTTTGGCAAAATTTCCAAATAGTCAATCAGAACTCAGTGCTCAAATTACTCTGGACAAGCTGGACATATTTGGATGTCATGATCTACTTGATGTGACCAATTACTAATGTGCTATTTTATGAATTATTTTAATTCCATTCAAATTTAGTTCATTGCTTTTGGTTCATATATAATGCAAAGTGAGTGATCCACAAGGAATTTGACTACTCATACAAATGATAGATAAGATGCTATGGTGCACCCCAGACTTTTTGTTTGAATCACAATAGTAACCTGAAAAACATGGTGTTTATGAATAGCACACACACAAAAAAAAAATTAAGAAAAAGCAGGAACTCTCTGTTTTATTTAAAGACATGATTTTGGAACTGCTATTTTTAATAACAATCAGAACATAAATGTAGCCCCGCATAGTGGCCTATGCATATAATCCCAGCAGCTGAGACAGGAGGATCACAGTTCAAAGCCAGCCTCAGCAACAGCCAGGTGCTAAGCAACTCAGTGAAATCCTGTCTCTAAATAAAATACAAAATAGGGCTTGGGATGTGGTTCAGGGGTTGAGTGTCCCTGAGTTCAATCCCTAGTACCCAAATAAATAAATAAATAAAACTATGGTCAAATGTTTCATAAATCAAATAAGGAAAAAAAATGTTAATTTCCCAAATGGCATCTTGGATTGGCTATCAAATGTGGATAGTACTTGATCTGACAAAGTACGTGAGATCTGGCTTCCAAAAACATGATATTATTTTTCTTAAACATTCTTAAAAATTGAACTAGTTTCCAAAAAGAGCTTATTATGCAGGTACAAAAAAATGGTATCATGAGAAAAATTGAATTAATTCTAAGGATACTTGCTACAAAATAGGAAATATATTTTAAGTAACAGAAAGTAATATAATTATATCAGTAAGTTGCCAAAACTGCCTTAAAAATGTGAATATACTGATTTAGAATTCTGTACCCATAATTCATCATTATTCACAAAATGTTCTTTAAAGGAAACAAGATTTAAAGTTAGTATTTAATTTTGAAATAATCAATGATCAATCTAACCATGCAACAGAAAACAATTTAACAATTTAAGCTGTAGTAATATTAAGAAACATTTTATAGACATTTTTAAATGTCCTAAAGTCACTTTGATGGCATTGGGAAATATTAAATGAAAATGTAAGAAAAAATAGTCATATATTATGAGGCAAACTATTTTCTTGAATCTGTATGTGATTATAATATTAACATTATATTAAATATTAAATGAAAATATATGATAAAACTAGGCATATGTTATGATGTAAACTATTTAATTGAATCTGTATGTATTTATAAGTCTGAAAAACAAATACACCATAGTTTGGCTATTGTGAATTGTGCTGGTATAAACACGTGTGTGTACATAACACTATACTATGGTGACTTTAATTCTTTAGAATAAATAACAAGGAATGGTATAGGGGTGTCATATGGTGCTTCCATGCCTAGTCTTTTCAGGAAACTCCATGCTAATTTCCATAGTGGCTGTACTAATTTACAATCCCACCAACAGTATGAAAGTGCTCCTTTTTCTCCACATCCTCACCAGCATTTATTATTGTTTGTATTCTTGAATATGTAGATAATTGAGTTTTATTCATCTATAAAGAATGAGATTATGTCCTTTGCAGAAAAATTAATGGAATGTGAAAATATCATGTTAAGCAAAATAAGCCAAACTTAGGAATTCAATGGTCATATGTTTTCTCCCATATGTAGGAAGTAGAAAATAAGAGAAAAGTGTGAGGGAGGGGCATCTCCTGGAAATCCAAGGGAGATCAATAAAGTACAGAAAAAGGACCACAGGAAGGGAAGAGGGGAGGGAAAGGGGAAATATTGGGAAATGATATTGGCCAAATTCTACTGTTATATTGTGTTCATGCATAAATATATGATGATTTCCACCATTATGTATAATTATAATGGGTCAGTAAAAAATATGAGAAAGCTGGGTGAAATGCTACATCGTGTACAGCTGGAGAGATGAAATGTTGTGCTGCAATTGTGTACAATGAATCAAAATGCATTCTGCTGTCATATATACCTAATTAAAATAAATTAATTAATTAATAGAAAAATAAAATATGGAGAAAAAAATACCCCAAAATATTAATTAATGTTATTCTGAGTGGTGGAATTGCAAAGTTTCTTTCACATTTTTATTCTATTAAAAAATTTCCACATTTTTGTAATAAATATGTATCATCCTTATAAATTTTTAAATAGCCATGAGTGTTTGTATGAGAACTTTCTAGTGGTATCTATGAAGGAGGCATGTATTAATATAATATCTAAGTTCCCAGAAGAGGTAAAGTATTTCCTGGGTACATTTTTTATTATTATTATTCATATCATGGAGTCATCAGACCAGTCCTGGAAAAGGTAGGTGGATAAAGCTAAGTAGCCAAGGTGATTCATTCTAAAGAATCTTACTATGACTATTCTCTCTCTCTCTTTCTTGTTGTGAGTGTGTGTGTGTTTGTGTGTGTGTGTGTGTGTGTGTGTGTGTGTGTGTTTAAGATATGATTAAGTCTCAAAGTCTCTTCCAAAAATTCAAGTGCACACAGGCACTGAGAGCAAAGAACACCTGCCGGTCTCATTCTTAAGTCTCTCATTTTTTTAAATCCTTGCTTATTTATTCTTTTTTATATATTTCTGACCTTGAGACTTGTAGGGATCCAGCAGGATAAGAAAACATAGTTCAGGTTAAAGTTTTGTTACTATAAACCTCTGATTATCGCTTAACCATGTTCTTCTCAGAAGCCAAAGGAAATAATTCAAAGTATGTGTTAAGTATTGCTTTTTGTATATTTTTGTCAGAATGGTTTTTTTTTATTCCTCTGAGAAAGAATAAAATGTGCAGTCTAAATTTTTGTCTTTTTCTCTGCCTTCTAAAATGTTCCCTATGGCTTTGATCATAAAAAAGCAATACAGAAATAAGCCATGACAATCCGATCAATCTAGTATAAGGTTTTTTCTGACCAGCCATAGACAGTTTTAGATATAAATTCAAAGTTTCAGATCCTTGTCAATGAAGTAATGTGAAAATATTTTGAAAAACTCTCTGGAGAAAGGAAAGGTTAAAATTTCTAAATTTTAAAACAGTAGGGTATTTAGTGTTATAATAATTCAAATTATTATCTTCATGGGAAGATTTAAACTTGTCTATCATGTCTGAATGTTTATAGCATTAACATTTGTTCTGAAAGTATATGGCCTTTAGGAGATAGATGCTTTCAGAGACGGTTTGTCATCTCTCATGATCCTCATGAAGCAGATCAAGAGCAAGGGGTGGCACCCACATTCTAAATTTGGCAACACGGCAAATCAATTTTCTGATCTTATTACCACACATTGCAAAAATGATCCAAGTATAAATCAACACTAGTTTTATTTACTCATCTGCATTATAACCTAATGAGATAATAAACTTGGTCTATTGATAAATAATTTATTTATTATATTATAGTAGCATTTTTGTGCATATAACAGAAGTTTTTGTTTCAGAATGCAACTGCTGTAAGTTAAATTGATTCAATTTAATTAACAAGCATTTAGTCAGTGCCTACCTGTGCACAGCACTATACCAGGCATATAAAAGAGTTAGAAGGATACAAACCCTGCTCATAGCTTACAATCTACATAGGAAAGATGATTCCTACAGACAAAAAATGATAAATAACCTACCAATTATATCCAGTAACACACATTACTGTATCACACCCATTTTTAAGCTCAATTTGTTTGGAAAACTGTGAGGGAAACTGAGCTGGAGAAAAAGCGGCAGTGCAGGGGAAAAACAAAAGCATAATTTAGAAGGTGGTGGAAATCCTTCTTGCCCAGGGAGGATTGACCATGCCTTAACCTATAAGCAAGAGCTTGATAATCCATCAGAATAGAACAGGGAATCACCACTGCCCTGTGCTTGTTCTTTGGGCCTTCACACAGCACATTCTTCTTAAGCAGTAAGGTGTGGAGTAGTTCTGGGCCCCCAGGATAGCTCTGGAAATTACTGGCCACCAGCAGCTACAGCTGTTTTAAAGAGAGAGAATGAGATGAATGTACAAGTTAAGCAAAAATTTTGCTTTCAGTGTCCTTAATGGTTCTGAATGAGGTAACCTGAAATCTGTATCTTCAAAATGTGTTTCACTTTGCTATAATACTTAGCATTTTTATATCCAAAATAGTTATATATTTCTTATTTTACAAAGTCTTGACAGGTTCTAAAGACAGGAGAAGGAACATTTACTTTTTGGGGTAATATTTATTAATTAATGCTTACATAATGAATATTGAAATCTATTCCTTTCAAATTTTTCAGATAAAAAGGTTTCACATTATCCATGAACATTTAGAAGTATTCAGTGAACAGTTGTGCAGATTATTGGAAAATATCAGATAAATACATGCTATAGCATCTTACCATGATTTTAAACAATGAAAGTAACAATAAGCTTTAACTAAAATCAGATCTTATATGTCAGAATTTTCCACTCACCATTTTAAAAGCTAGGTTGATAATGTTAAATTATACAAAAGCCCTGTTCATGTTTCTCCCTGGTCATCTTCTGCAAAGACTTAGATAGTGCTAGTCAATTTCCACCAAGGTATACTCTATCCCAACAGGTAAGCACTATAGATTGTGCAGAATCAGGATGGAGATAAGATCACTGTTCCTCTTGGTGGAAGGATATGAAAGAAGTTTGCCTGGGGTGTGGAGGTAAATGCCTTGGATTTAACTTTTGCCTCTCCAAAACAAGATATTTAAGATTTTTTCCCCCAGGGTGAGAATATGTAAGAACCTACAAGGAAGGAGAGAACTGAAACAATTCAGAAATTTTAGAAACTAACAAGCAAATAAATGAATAATATGTGACTTATCAGTTCAAACATCCTGAAATCCTAAGCCAGCAGAGGGAACAGATGAAAAGCAACATCAATTTCAGTCAAATCTCCAAGGGACATAGGAATTTGCAGCTATGGTAATTCTGGAAGCGAAGAATCAATACAAAGAAAAGACTTTAGCTGTCTGAGAAGCAGCTGTGAATCCCTGTCTACTGCTCCACTTGGCACAAATGGGTAACTAACTGCCCCCTTCTTTATCCTGGATGAAAACTGGGAGAAAGAATAAAACAGACTGGGCTAGAAGACTACAAAGAGTAACACAGTAGAGACAGGGGACTATGTAAGCACTCTTCCATTCTCAGGTGCTATGATTTTGCTAGGCAGATCTTTACTCTCCAGGCAGAAGTTTGGAAGTGACTTTTCTGTCCCAGAGAGGAAAAACTTAAAGACACTGGCAGCAGTTCATCAAAGAGCCCAGATACTGCCCTGCAGTGAAGACCTGTCCTCAAACCCCACCCACAAGCTTAAAGAGTGCAAACCCTGCTTAGCATCCTGAGTGTCAAGGACCACAGACCATCCGAGAAAAAGCTCTAAAGGAGACCAAGAAAAGACAAATCAACTTAGAGAAAACAAAGACCATGAAAGGCAAAGAAACTTTACAATTTTTGATATTCTCATGAAGAGAAAACAAGGCAATGATGCCATTAAACAAGAAAAAGATGCTGCTTAAAACAATTACAGATCAAAAACAACTTGCAGAAATTAAAGTTATGATAGCAAAAGTGAAGAAGCAATGAAATACTGAAAATTAAAGTTAAGGAAATATTCAGGAGTAAAGCAAAGAGATGAAGAGAGGATAAGAAAGAAAAGTAAGAGAATGGAAAAACTGGTCCAAGAGGTCCAATGTCCAAATGATACAAATTCCAAAAAGAGAGAACACAGAAAATGAATGGAAAAAAAAAATCAACAAACAACTCCAGAAAATTCTATGTAACTAAAGAGTCTGAGTTTCCAGAGTGAAAAGGCTTACTGAAAAGTACACAAGGAATAAAAATGTATCCATGTAAGATATACCATTATGACATTCAAAACACTGGAGATGAAAAGAGCTTATAACTTTCCACATAGGTAAAGCAGACTATCAAAAATACAAGTCACTCAAGAAAGATTAAGATTCAAAATGGCTTTAGACATCCCAATAGTAATTCTGAGATCTAGAAGGCAATAGAAAGGTCTGAAGGAATATTATTCTAAAGGAAAAATATTTTTAATCTAATGATATGGGTATTTTCTGTACCCAAACTATCAATCAAATGGGAGGGTAAAAGACAGTTTCAGACATGCAAGGTCTCAGAAAAACTGCTTCTCACACTCCGTTACTTGCCCAATACATGTGAACAAACCAAAATAAGGCGAATTGGGGGGGGGCGGGGAACAGAAGCAAGGATGTTCAAACAAGATAGAGGACTAGAGTTCCTTCCAGGTGGACAATAAAGGGAAATCTCAGGGTGACAGCTATACAGCATTAGAAAGAGGAACCACTTGAGATTTGAGAAATTCAGAAGATTCTGGAAGAGATTTCTTCAAAGAAATGAAATGGACAAAAAAACTAATGTCTAATATGTCTGAATATATTTAGAGCATGATTTCATAAATAAAAGATTTAGAGATTGAATTGCTGATAAATACATAGAAAAATAATAAAGTGTTTAAAAAGAGATAATTGTGAATCCTGACAAAATTAATAAACATGCACAAATAGCCAGAGTTTACTACATAGCTCAGCCAAGGAACATGTACATATTCGTATGAAAGTACATTGTCCCAACCAAACTCATAATATAACTAAATGGACATAATATATAGAGAGGTTAAGTGTGAAAGAAGCCAAATCCTTATCTCTATCATAGTTAATAGTTTTAATTGATAATAAAACTAAGAAATCAAAAAATCACAACGTGCAATTTGGAGACAAATACCTAAAGAACCAACCAAGAGTTGAAAGTATTTGTCTTTGGGTACTGGGTGTGGGGAGCAGGGAAGAGGACACAACAGTCTAAGAGAGTGAGAAGAGATGCTATTTTTCATAATAAACTTTGTAGAACTATGTAGCTCTAAACTATGTGCACATACAGAACTGATAAAAAAATTAAATGTTTTATAAAAAGACTAGTCTAATAATTGTAAGTCACTCTAGTCATTCAATTCAGTATCTAAGGATTGACCTTATTCTTCTGCTTGCTGGATAGAAAAATAATTTTTTTTCTAAAAAGATCAACATAAAATAAGACAATAAAATTATGTATTGAAAGTAGGTTACTTGAGGCCACCTGGCATCCTCTTCCCTTTTCTTAAGCAGATGCATCCTCTCCAATGCATTCCATGTGCTTCAGTGAAAATGACCAAGCCCCATTCCAAGGGCAGGTCCTGACAGGCTTCAGCAACTCTCTATGCATCTGAGAATACTTAGGCCCTTTCTATAAAATGGCCTAGTATTTGCGCAAAACCTATACATCTACCCAGTATATGCATCTAACCAATATTTCTAGATTATTCACAGTGTCTAATTCAATGTAAAAACTGTGGGAATAGTTGTAATACTATCTTTTTTAGGGAATGATGGCAGGAAATAATGACCTGTCTTGTACATAATATTGCATTCAGAGTTGGACACACAGGACCCATTTGGGGTCAAGCTTAAAGGAGGAGACACTGGGAAATTTCTGGGAAAGAAGTTCCTTTTCTCTTCCAAGGGAGCTACTTGGAAATCCCATTCTCAGTTCCTTTGAAAACTGCAGTCCAAGGACAAGGCCTTGAAAGTGACTGCATCCATTCTTGCTGTCATGGAGGTCAGCTAATGTGAAAGAAGCCTAGTGTTAGGAGATTCACAGAGAAATGGGCTCAATCCTAATCACATTCCAAATGTGGGATTAAAAGTAGCCTAAAGCCATACATTCCTCTCCCCTGCTCATTTGTGTGGACTAAAATGGCTCTTTTCTAAATGCAACTAATCAACTTGAATTTCGTTGAATTACTTACATGGGGGAAAAGTTCTAATAATACAGAATTTTAAAATTAGAAATGAAGGAAAAGTTGGAAAAGACATTTATTAGGTGTCCCCCTTTCCATGAGAGACTCATGGTACATCACAAATATTTGCAAATAGGAATCTGCTTTATTCCAACATAGTCAATCCTCAGTATCTGCATCGGATTAGTTACAGACACTCCCCACATAAACAAAAATGGAAGGATGCTCAAACCCTTTGTATGTAGTATTTGCATATAACCTAAATACACCCTGCCTATACTTTAAATCATCTATAGGTTACTTAGCATATCTAATGCCAAGTAAATGCTATGGGAATAATTGTAATGCTGTATTGTTTAGGGAACTCACAAGGGAAAAGTCTGTATAGGTTCAATACAGACATAATTTTTTCCCAAGTAGTTTCAACAGACAATTGGTTGAATCTGGAGATGTGGAAGCCTCTCTGTATTTTTAAAATTAAGGAAGGCTTTAAAAGAACGTTTAAAGAACTATAAGAGCTATCTGGATATCAATGGTGGTTAGCTCAAAGTAGGATCTTTTGGAGATTTTCCCAAAGTGTCTTTCTATATATAAAAATAGTTCAAATGAACACTAGATATATTTACTATTTATATATAACTAGAGGGTTGTTTTTGTCATATTTCACTCGTAGGTCACTTTTTATTTTATCACTACTGCTAAATTTACATTCCTGATTTTTTCCCACTATTGAAAAACAAACCAAATCCTGGGATGTGATGCATGAGAACAGCTAGAGATGAAAGGTGAGGATGTGGAACAACTGGCTCAGGGCAATATGCCATTCACCATTGAATGCCTCTTTGGGAGTAAAAACAAAATATAAGACTGTCAGTTAAGACAAAATCGCCAGCATGAACCCATCTCCAACCTGCACGTGCAGCTGCCATCTTCTTGTTCCGCATTTTGTTTTCCAAAGCTTGCTGCACAATACAAAAAAAAAAGGAGAGAAGAAAATGACATTTCCTGGTGTTTCTTACTCCTTGATATGAATGAAGACAATATTTTTAACGAAATAAATTGTATCTTACCAGTTTCATCTTCTTTTTTAGTTCCAGATTTGCTACCTTCTGGCCCTTGGCAGTGGCATTGAGATAATAGATGGTCAAACTAAATTATGAGAAAACAAGAAAATTGATGGCCTTTTTAGTTCCTCAAGATCCTTCTTCAATTTTTATTAACTAAATCATAGAATGTCAGCGCTGGAGTGAACATGGAGATATTTGCTACTAGAAATCTTTTATTTTGTGGATAAAAATTGAGGTCCAGAGAGGTAAAGATATGCACTCAGATTTAAACAGTGACTAAGCTGAAGCTGGAAATTTGGGCCCAAAAGCTCCTAATCCACCAGCCAGAACCCTATTCACTATTCCACACTGCCTAATATTATTAGCCTTTTCCTGGAAATGTATTAAAATCAGTTTGCATTAAAATTAAAAAACAGTTTAAATTGATAGTAATGATGTCTAAAAAAAATAGAAAATCTACTGAAGCTTAGGGAATATGTCAAATAAAAAGGAAAAATGACATTCTGCCTTAAATTCCCTCCTTTGGCCTTTACGACTAAGAAAGAATATCACCCTCAGAGGCATAGTTAATTAACATGGATTTTTTTTTTCCACAGAACGAATTATTTGCATTTCTTTCTCCCTCAAAAAGAAAACATTTTATAAAGGAGTGATTCTGGATTTCAAATGACATTTACATTTCTAGAAAGAGCAAATTTCAGCCCAACAATTCTGCAAAAATAAATATGCTCATCTTCTCTTAAAACAAAATGAACAAACAACAAAGAAAAAAATGCAGTTAAAAAAAAGCTGATATTGCTCTTTGTTGCAAAGAACTGGATATTGAACACATTTCCTCTGCTCATGAACATGCCAGATAATATCCTTTATGAGCCATCTGGTGCTAGCAGCACAATTATTGATATAGTTTAGTTGGGGTTTGTTTATTTCTTATATGATTAACTGGAATTTGACTGAAATTACACACATAAAAGCATCTGAGACAATATCTGGCATGAAATAGGTGCTCAATAAATTGTGTGTGTGTGTGTGTGTGTGTGTGTGTGTGTGAGAGAGAGAGAGAGAGAGAGAGAGAGAGAGAGAGAGAGAGATTTAAAGGGTGAACTTGAAAATCTCACATATCATTTCCAATTCAGAATTATCTATTTATCCATCATTTTTTTTCCTGCCTCTGAATGCACATTAAATGAGTATTCCTAACAAATCACTTCCTGTGCTCCAAGGGAATGACACTGCCCAGAGAAAATCAACCTGAACTCTGCTCAGATATCCAAACACCATCCAAGTGGATTTAATATGGTCCACTGGGGAAATTTAAAAAGACTGTAACATTCTCTAATTAAAGGTAATAAAAAGCCAAGACAATTGCACAAGGCTTATAAAATAAGAGACCTCAGGACCTGAAAAAATAAAATCAGTAATAAACTGAAATTTGGGTTTTAAATCAAAACCTCAGAGCTAAAATCAGTGTTTCTGAACATCTTTTTGACTCTCACACATGGGCAGTTTTCATCTGGGCTGTCTGTATCAAGGGTGGGTAAAGTAAGGCCTCCAGGTCAAATCTGGCTCCCAGACTGTTTTCTATGGCAATGAACTAACTAAAGAATGGTTTTTACATCATAAGTATTTATACAAGTATTTCTATAAGGTCCTCAATTTTGCCTTGTTCAAAATAGCTGCTATTTGGCCCTTTAAAAGACACATGTGCTGCATCTAAACCATGCCTAAAGAGTGCTTCCCCACCTTCTCACAGTTCCAGGATCCCATGCTCTCCTTGGTGGAGTGAATGAGTGGAGGGATTAAGAAGTAGGAGTGAGAAGACATGAGCTTTAAGTTCACTTACTAGTCACTTGATTTGGGGATCTTCCAAATATGGAAATATTTAGAAATATATCTGATAATATGATGAATGAAACCAGTGTCTTAAGTTATTGTGGAAATTCAATGAGTCATCTGTGGTTAGTGTCTAGAACAGCAGCAGCATTAATTATCTTTCCATCTCTTAAGACAGTTTTATTAGATCTTCAGATATTGCATTTAAATGATGTTGTTCCTTTGCTTAAAAACAAATCTGTCTCTCAATAAATTAAGAACACTGCAACAAAACCTAACTTTTCTGGTGTGTGTGTTGTACAAGATTTTATTTATATCACTAAAGGACCTTGACTATCAAAGGCCACAGGATACTTTTTTAATGTGCTCTCAGAAGCCACTATATCATGAAAATGTAGAGAAAGAAAATCACTCCAAGGGCCATCTGGTGAAAGATGCTGCATTCAGCAGGTCATTTTCTAACAAATCTGTGCCAGAGATTTACTATCACATTCTTAATACCACCTCATGATCAAGGTTCTGTAATATATAAGAGTAATCTGCTTTACTGTTTAATTATCCTTATGGGTTATTAGCTTTCCCTCATAGAAGGCATCATCATGTAGAGGCATGAGTACAGGATTTACTGTAAAAGGGTCTAGTACCATGTTGATCTTTCTCATTTATTGCTGGGTCAGTTTAACTTACACACTGAAGGTGACCCCTGCCGTCACAACCTACCCAGGATGGTGATAACAGGTTCAGCATCCCAGCTTATTTATTTTACATCACTGTGAGTGTTCTGCCTCAGATATCTCATTTTACCTTTATCTAAAACAAACAAAAAAAAAATTCAATCCAAGTGTCCTGGAGATGGGGAACACTTGACCTCCTTGGCTGAAAGCACAGGCAGTTCCAGACTTTCTCTTTCTGGAGAGCAGGGCTTTGAAAGGAAGGGCACTTTTTTTTTTTTTGCTCTTCCATAGCAAGCCCATATTTTTACTTGGATTATATAAGTTTATCTGCTGTGGCCAAGAGTCAGCAGTCAATAAAAGCTAGATGGAAATGAAAGTCTCCTACCAAGTTCCCTTTTGGAAATTACTTCTGACTTTAAAAAGGGGTAGAGGAAAAAGATGTTTCTAAGACCTTTCTCTGATTGTGCTATTATGGACACAGTTTTTAACAGCCCTCTAATAACAAGGACAGGGCGATTTTTAAGACCCCTTGAGCCATTAGCCCTAAAATATAGCCTGCAGGGCCCTCAAGGGGAATATCGACTTAGAGGCTCATCATTTCTGTATATTCACAACCATCTGCTTTATGGAACAAGAGGCGGGGGCTGTGCTGCAGGGGGAAGCTCGATGTGCTGATTAGATTTAGCATTTAGCATTTATGTTTCCCTTGCTTTAGCTGTTTACTGATAATTATTTTGGTTACTTGGGAACAAATCTTATAATCCTGGGGAGGCAAAGACAGATGCAGATGGCTGTGAATTACATCCAACAGGATCAGAATATGGCTCATGAATTTCAGCTTCCACCAACATGTTTTCAGAGCTGAATTTGGTTAGGTTAGCTCCAACCTTTGGGAAAGGGAAGAAGCTGAAAATGGCTGAAACTGAAAAGGAGTCAGGAAACAAATTACAAAGGCTCTTTCTCTGAGAAGGGGAAGCACATACCCCATCACTAGAACAACAGCAATGACCAGTCCAGGGTTGGAAAGCTGTCTCAAAATCTTTGCCATCCAGCTTGGGAAATCATTCTCCAGGGTCTCACCAATGACTTCGAACATCCTGTTTTTGCCACTAGGAGGAAAGAAAGAAAGACGTTTGTGTGAAACAACTGGAGAAATTATGGTTACAGCAAGAAAACTAGAAATATTTCTCAAATATTGCCTAGATTTCAGGTTAGGAATCCGATGTTTAGCTCTAGCTCACAAATACTTCAACCTCATCTTGCCAACATGTTAAAAAAGTTACAAGAAATGTTATCCTAACACACATAGACACACACACACACACACACACACACACACACACACACACAGTTACAGCAGTTAGGAAATTAGCCACAACATGGAAAGAAAAAAAATTAACACTGACAGATTTTGATTGAAGTATATTTTGTATGCAGCTCCTAAGTCTGCTCTTCTGCTTGCTGTTCCTGCTAAAGAAGACTCTCTTTGAGCTGAGTGCAGAGAGCATTTAATTTTTAATTAGCTTTGAAAATGAGCACAAGTAATAGTTTAGTGGAATAAAACCACAAATAATCCAATATCTCTTTTCATGCAGTAGCTTTCACCTCATTTACCACCAGACCCACCACCTTCATCAGAGATGCTAACAGGTAACCCCACTGAAAGTGGATCCCTTTTCTTCTCAGGGTTTCCTTTGCTGGACAGCCCCTCAAGAATACCAGCTAAGATATATGTAGTTGATAGGAAAATCAGCTGCTATCAACTAGCACAATGACATCAGGGAGTTTTAACAATATAGAATATTTAAAAGTACAATAGAATATTAATAATGTCAGGTTAGTTTTTTCTATATATTCATATTGATCGTATAATAAAAACATTCACTCTTCAAAAGATATTTGTTGTATTTCAACAAATTGTATGGATCCTCAGATTAAAGGCTGGTGTAACATTCAATATGCTTTGTCTTCCTTTTGTTTTCTACTCTAAACATTTTCAACTACTCAATATACACAACCCCCAGTCCCAAATCAGATATTATTTTCTCTGAATTCAACAAATATTGTCATTCAACAAAGTGACTCCAAGTATTTTGTCAGGAGTCACTGGACTATTAAGTGGGGGTTTTTTTCTTCACATATCATAGATAAGTCACATAAAGTCTAATTGCAAATGAGAGAGACATAATAGCAGTGTCACAGCATAATGTTACAGTTAAAGGTCTACATAAACCTGTACATACACTAGCAGGACCTCAGTTATCTTAAGAATTTTTCATAAAAGGAAAACATGAATATAAAATGCCAAAATGTTGAGTCATTATTTCAGGTCTTTGGGTTATGGAACTTGTTTGTTTCAATGTTAAAATGTTTCTACAATTTCCAGGTTCTCTAGGATAATTATATGTCATTACTTTTACAGTAAGATTGAAATACATTTAAAAAGTTGCCAAAACATAAGTGAGGAGGCATGTGATAACCTAAAGAATAACAAATTGTTCAGAATTATTGACACAGCTGTGTGGGGAAAGTGTTGGAAAACAAGATGGAACAATTTGAGGGATTGTCTTGAACATCAAAGAAATCATTTCTAAGCGGGCCAACAACTTAAGGGAAATCTACTCACTATATTGAAACAATTTTCTACAAAAATCACCTTCTGTGGCTAGGTCTTACAGAATATGCCAGAATATCTCATCAAATTGCTTTGAGGAATGGAAAGAGGAAGATAGCCCTGAAAACTCATCTGTACCGGACAGCAGCTGTTTATCAGGGTAACGACTACATTAACCTGCCTCACAGTCATGTCTGCCACCTTGTTGCCCACCCAGGAGCTAGATGGGCTCAAGCAGCTTTCACTAAGCAGGGAAGGCAGACACTCCCAACTCAGAGATCCTGAGGACAGCAAGCCTTGAGGAGCACAATAAACCTGTCAAACTGGTGGAGCAAAGAAGCAAAGTAAACTTTTTTTTTTCTCCCAAAGAAGGAAACCAACAGGCAAATAAGCTAAGCAATATAGACATACCCCTTTCCCAGTCCTCTTATGAAAATATTTAATTTTTCTTGACCTCAACATAGTGATATTTACCAAGCAATTTACCTAAATGTGCTAATCAAGAAAGTCTTGGTCAAAGTCAGATACCCTGCTCCACTGTAAATTCCACACACCCACACTCCTCAACCCCCATCCCTGCACCCTGGCAAAAATCAGAGTAACTCAGTGTGTGACATAAGGAAAGCTAGAGAGATCAAAGCTTATAGGCTAACATTTTGCAATTGCGCTCTGACTCAACGGTATTTTAAATCTGAATAGACCTGTGTAACCAGCAGCTTTGTTTACATCCTTGGTTTCCTTTATGAAACACTAAGGTCCTTTGTTATATGTTTTATTGAGAAAGATCAACTGCCAATTAAAAGCATGTAGCCTTAAAATTTACCCTGATATTAAGTTGTGCAGGTAATTTGCGATTAACTGAAGACTCTGAATGTCATTTCTTGAACTTTGTACTCTGAGATTTATTAAGGATTTATTAAGATAAATGTCTCCTTTAAGACTGTAATTTCATATATAGTCTCCAGATGTCACTCTCTGCATTATTTATTTCAGCCCACTTGGAAGCATATACACACACA